ATTCAACAATGCAGACTGCTTCTAAAATCTGTTTTATACCTTTAATATTTACTGACAACCACCATAATAATGCAGGTGGTAAAAGAGAAGGCCACATGAATCAAAGTTCATCACATAGCTTTTCCTCAAACTGAAGTATGTACTAAAATACAGAAGATGCACAGAGTCATTCACTCAAACACTAAACGCCATAATGGTAACATACATCACTTAAATAATGCAAAAAACATTCATTAACATAAAACCCTAGTGAACATAACAAAAACTATTAAGAAGCATAATTATTCAAACAAAATACTTTCAAATGTGGAGTGTCACGCAGGGAATTCTGGGAATATCTGTTTACAGTTTTTAATTGGATGTTGATTTGTTATTTTTTTACTGTACAATTAACAGCATTTTACTGTAAAATTACATACAATTTCTGGTTAGATCTTTTACAGTTTTCCCTGTATATGATCTTTTACAGTTTTCCCTGTGTATATAGTACAGGAACTTACTGTTAACTGTTACAGTTTTTTTTTCGGTAGCGGTTTTTAAATATTTTACAGTGAAAAATGTGTGTGAAGCTTCAACACTTTGCCTCTTTTTTTTTAGTCATTTTATACCATAACTTTGTGCTAAATCTGAAGGAAACCTGCTATGTGCAAGAAATTTTGTCTGAGTTCTCCTCAGGTATCCTTAAAGTCACATCTGCCTGTTTCTTCACACCAGAAATCATGCATCCACTGAGGCGAAATCCAGTTTTTCAATACATATTTCAAATCCCTAATCCCACTCCATTATTCAAATAGCTTCCACACAAGGATTGTCACCAATCTACCATTGAAATGCTAATACGGTGTTATGTAGCTTCCGCAAAGATGCACACTTCTAGGAAGCAGAGTGAAATGGAGCTTTGAGGCAGTGTCTCCCACCGTGTTCTTAGAGACGTCACCTGTGTTCCTGTGCTGTTTTTCTCCTCTGACAATGGGATGATACATTCAAATACTTTCAAATGTGGAGTGTCACGCAGGGAATTCTGGGAATATCTGTTTACAGTTTTTAATTGGATGTTGATTTGTTATTTTTTTACTGTACAATTAACAGCATTTTACTGTAAAATTACATACAATTTCTGGTTAGATCTTTTACAGTTTTCCCTGTATATGATCTTTTACAGTTTTCCCTGTGTATATAGTACAGGAACTTACTGTTAACTGTTACAGTTTTTTTTTCGGTAAGAGGCCTTTGTTCACCCCCCGGATCCATGTGAGACACCTTTTTTATGGATGGGCGCTTTTTATTTCACTTCTTTGGGATTGAAGCACTGCAACACCCGCTGACTGCAATGATAGAGCTTGGAATAGCCAGGACAATTTTTAATATAACTCCGACTGGATTCGTCTGAAAGTAGAAAGTCATATACACCTAGGATGCCTCGGGGTGAGTAAAACACAGCCTAATTTTCATTTTTGGGTGAACTAACCCTTTAAGTGCTTCATTGGTGATTTTTCATTTTTGGATACATTTTTTTTTTTTCATAATTCTTTAAGCATTATGTTTTTTCTCTGCTGAGAGAATATGGGGAAAAGACATCATTATACCAATTTTCATTAAAAATAAATTAACAACAAAAAATAAAATAAAAAAATATAAAAATAAAAAAGATTTAAATGTAAATGTTTTAAATCATCATAAAAACATCTCATACATGACATACATGTTATGACATTGAAGTTAAATCAAAATTAACAACTAATATATATCTTACCAACAAAACAAAAAAAAAGTATTTAAATATAAAATACAAAAATAAATATTTACATTTAAAATATTTAATTATTTAGAAAATCATTAAAAAACATCTATCTATCTATCTATCTATCTATTTGACATTAGATTTACATTACATTAAATTTAACAACATAAAACAATATTCAATGTCTTAATGTACCATATGAGCAGCATGTAAATTTAATTTTTAAATAAATAAAATTATTTATAAATTATGAATTAACAATGATTGCAGTTTGTGCAAAAGAAATTATGATTTTCAAACAAACTGAACACTTCCCCTATCTGCTATTGGTCAGAAAAACTGGTAGTCCCGCCTACTGGTTGAGCCAGTGTTGCTGTGGTCAGGCTGGTCAGGATGCTCAAGCAAACCATGCTTGTATAGCTCCACAGAGACACAGGGTTTTGCATCATACTTCTAAATAGTAAAAAAGGAACCATAACCATAACTACTTTTAAATAGTCAAAAGGTACTATAGATGATTTGAGAGCAAGAAAGTCAAAAGTGTCTATATTGTTTGTCATCATATTGCATAAAGTGCTGCAGTTTACACAGAGATTCTTTACTTAAACTGTCATATCTCACTGCTAACGAAATTAAACAGCTGATTATGTTACGATTCATACAAGAGTCTTTTCTTGACCCTGTGTACAGTATAACCTAATCAAGCCAACCTAATCAAATTGGAGCCAGACTAATTTGGTACAAATGAATGTCTAAATTATTTATCTGTGTGCTAAAGGGCAAGAGCAGCATAACCACATGAAAGTGTTTTTTTATTATTATGGATAGAGGACTCGTATTTTGGCCAGAAGCAAAGGTTTAAAGTTAAATGATGATGGATTTGTTTCTTACAAACATGCAGCTTTTCACTTCACAAGATGTTAACTGATGGACTGGAGTGGTGTGGATTACTTGTGTATTACGGTGATGTTTTTATCAGCTGTTTGGACTCTCATTCTGACGGCACCCATTCACTGCAGAGGATCCATTGGTGAGCAAGTGATGTAATGCTAAATTTCTCCATACCTGTTCCAATGATAAAACAAACTCATCTACATCTTGGATGGAAAATACATCTTGAATTTCAATTTTACAATGACAGTGACACGCAGGCAGAGCGTATCTTTAGTTCCATTGGAAATGCGGCAAGCATATATGCTCAGTAGAGGTGAGAAACGGACAGCTGTGTGGAACTGCGATATCCATCAAAGGTGACAATAATGTTAAATGATGCAAAAGGAGGAAATGCTCTGCCAGTTAATAGACTCTAAAATAAACGTATTTAACTAAAATATAAAGGTTTATGGTCCCCGCCACAGGTTGGTCTCCCTAGAGACACATCTAAACACACATAAAAGGAACAAATATGCGGCAAGGAGAGTGAATTTGTTTGTTTTTGCTCATTTGAAACTGCTAACCGTGAAGGAACTGCGATATCCATCAAAGGTGACAATAATGTTAAATGACGCAAAAGGAGGAAATGCTCTGCCAGTTAATAGACTCTAAAATAAACGTATTTAACTAAAATATAAAGGTTTATGGTACCCGCCACAGGTTGGTCTCCCTAGAGACACATCTAAACACACATAAAAGGAACAAATATGCGGCAAGGAGAGTGAATTTGTTTGTTTTTGCTCATTTGAAACTGCTAACCGTGAATAAAAGACTGATGTTCATTGTATTCTGAAATGATTTGAAAAGATGCTGGATGTGAATCACTGTACAAGGAGTGTTCTTCAGAAAAGAAAAAGTCCACTGCAGATCCGATACATAAGTGTAGTAAGTGTGAGTCAGCTGTGGTCTTCTGGACATCATGCGTCATAATCAGGGCTTTCTTTGATATGATCTCATAATAGACCTGAAGGACAAAGAGACACATGATTGTAATAATGGCTGTAAAATGCTAACACTCTTATTTAGGACACCCATAAAAAGTAAACACTCAGTTCTTGGTGAATAAATGGGAACCCTGCTGAAAAAAACAAACAAAAAACAGCTAAAACCAGCCTGAGCTGGTTGGCTGGTTTTAGCTGGTCAGCAGGCTGGTTTTAGAGGGGGTTTGGCCACTTCTTTAGCTGGTCAGGCTGGGAGACCAGCTGGCTAACCAGCTAAAACCAGCTTGGCCAGGCTAGGAGACCAGCTAAAAGCTACTTTCAACTTACGCTGGTTTTAGCTCTTTTTTTTTTTTCAGCAGGGAAAAACATTTCTGAAATTGATATGCTGCTCACACTACTAGAGGCCTGAACAGCTAACCACTCAGGCTGGCTCATTTAAAATAGTTGCTTTCTAAAGAAACATGTTTAGTCGCTGAAAACAAGTTTAGTTCCATGGATTTGAATAATGATGAATGACCAATCAGAAAAACATTTTCCAGAGAACCTTGTAATAAATTACAATATAGTTGAAAAATGTCTTTACATTTTAGGAAGGAGTTCCTGGCAAGGTGATTATGTTTTAATAATAACCCCCCCCCCCAAAAATGGATTACAAATTTGAGTTCACGTTCAGTTGACGCAGAGTAGACGCTTACGTGAGAACATCGTGCTCGCGTGAGGTGATAACCATAGCAACGCCAGGCCGATGATTTAAGTTTGTCAAATTGGTGAACTGGTTTTTTGTTCCTTTACAGTTACACGGAACACAGAAATGCAACAGAGAAAAGACTTGAAAAGACTTGAGGTAGTTACTGGGTTTGATTAATTCCAATAACTAAGACTTATTAGGTTTATTTTAGGCCTATTTCTCTTCTTTGGCTGTCTTCGTTTGAATTTGAGTGGAACGTCCGAAGTAGCTGAAATCAGGGTTTCTTAATAAAAGTATGTATATGTTCAACAGCGTTCAAAAGGTTCAGTGACGACGAAGTTGTCCAAACGTTTGCGCGCATTTTCGTAGATCTGTTTTGGTGTTCAGCGCTTTTATTTCGATCTGTAACGTAACGTTACGTCGATTAATCATGACAAGTAGGCTACTGTAATTATGCACCAGCATAATATATTAACATATCTCAAATATAACAAATGCTTTTCGTTATCTGACGTTTATCTAGCTGTAATTGGCACAAAGTGACTAACGTTATGCATTTCGAGAGACGATTAAGCCTTCTTCATAAATAATACTTTGAAGTCCCTAAAAGTCATGTTATAATTCGCACCATGACTGAAACTATAACCCAGGCCTACTGAATGACAAATGGAATGATATTGAAATGTTTGTCTCATAGGTCAATGAGACATCTACTGCCTCATGGCAGGTAAAGTTAGTCAAGTTAGAGAAATCCTGCTGTCCTGGTCACTGCAGTTCCCGAGCGGTTTTCAGATTACTCATTAATGTGCATGGAACGGATTTAAATAACAGGTAGGCTTCTTTCTCTTGTGCAGATTAATTAGTTAGGCTATGTATTGATCTAATGCAGAGTATATCATACAATTTGGTAATGGCATCTCATTTTGTATTCATCTGAAATGCCTGCAAAAGTGTGTTTTTTTTCTCTAAATGAAAAGACACCATACACCGCTGTATTAACTGATTTCCTTAAAAAGAAAGATCATGAATTGTATGCACTCTGTTCCATTTCATCAAGGGCTTCATCGCCAGCAGCCTCCATCATCCATCCAATTGGTGAGGGACATCATCAGAAGAAATGTCGTGCAGACACTCAAGAACACAGCTCTCAAGAAACTGAGAAGCAGATGGACGACACCATCTTACAGACTCAACGCATGGAAATAGACAAGGAGGAATCTGAGAGTCCTTTCCATCAGAAGGAACAAAGCCTTTTGAGAAGAGCCATCAAAATTCTTCTCGTCTTGTTCATTATTTTGGGAGTAATTGTTATTTTCATGATTGCCTGCCAATATGTTTATCTGGAGTGGGAAAGAATCGTAAGGTCACGGAGTCTTAACAAATGCATGAATGGCTTTGAAAAACTGCGCTTTGTTGGAATGTACAATCCACCCATATGAACATATGAACCCATATTGCCTTCAGCACTCAATAAAGCGTATCAAAATGTCCTCTCGCGGTTTGAATAGTGTTTGTTTTTTCTATGTATTGTTTCTATATATCTGTATTTGCATGTGTTAAAATGTCAATAAACATGGATCAATAACAATGCAGGAAACTTGTAAAAGGTGCAATTATCAATAATACACATTAATCTCTGGAGCTCTAGTTAAAGGCATAATTACAGAGAAAATGAAAAAAAGTGAGGACTTTTTTTATGAAAAGGTATGGTTTATTCATGTTACAAGGAGTAACACAAAGATGTGTGTTTGTTAATATGATAATAAATATAGCCTGAAATAAAATAATACAAATATTTTTACCTTTTTAAAATAAGGATTAATAAGTATAAACTGTTATGTGCTTATATATATAGTATGAATCAAGTGTATGGATACAAAGATTGCATTTCTAAAACTTTTTTTTTTCAGAGTAGACTAATAAGATTTCTCCTTTTTATTTCTCACACATTCACTAAGAAATAACTTACTTTTTGCATTAAAAATGACTCAAATGTACTCATTTACTGATCAACAGTAACATTATTTCTTTAATCTTTTAGAAGCATGCATGTGGTAGCCTACATTTCAAGAATATTTTAAGCAAAATAATATTTCTGTTACTGTAAAATGTGTGCGCTTATGCTGAGCTGGGAATGTCAAACTGGAAAATGTAAAATCCATAATATCATTTCCTGACATAGATCTGACAGATGATGTTTGAGCTGGATGGGACATTTTGATGACTATACAATAATTAATAAGGCGATAATCAGCTGATCCATGGACATAAACAGACTCGATCGTTGCTAATTTGCTTTGGTGTCATTGATGAAGAGCCTGACGATGTCACCTTTTGACGTAAATACGTCAGAGGTGAGACATTCCGTTTCAATAAAAGGCTCCGGATCCCAGGAGCATCAGAGGACCAGGAGTAAAGAAGCAGCAGGGATATTAACCTACTAGTGTTTTTACTCTCCAAAGACCCAACTGATACTCAGAGTAAGTTCCCAGTCTCCTTCTTTCTAATTTCTTCTGTTTATGCATGTTCTGTATGTTTCATAATGCTTCACTGATGCTGTTTTTCAGATGCACAGGTGTGTCGGCGGAGTTTGTGTGTCTCTAATTGTGTGCGCGTTTCTTACGGAAACACTCGGAATGGTGATTGCGGTAAGAGTTACTTTGATTCAAAATTATTCATTTCAATATTTAATACTGTATGTAGGCCTATGTTTATAAGTATGTTTAAATTAAATTACGGAAAAGATGAAACAGTGATTTAAAAAAAAAAAAAGATATAGGAACTGTTCTGTGTAACAACACTCCCTTGAAACATCTTGTTTCTAGTAGCTTGGGGCTAGTTGTCACAATTTTAACGATTTTTAAATTTAAATTGTTCTCACAATCTCACGGTGGCTTTTTTTTTTGTTTTGTTTTTTTGTTTTTGTTTTTAAAAAAAAAAGGCAATTTCTGTTTGAACACATAACTTAAAGTCTTTGCTATAAATATTTAACATTATTGGGTAAGAAATAAAGAACGCACGTTTACTTTTGCCCCAACACCTGGACATGTTGTCGGGCTTTATGGGGTAAGTCGTCACAACTGGACACGGCATTAAATAGAATATTATAGTGCTTTCGGCAAAATAGCGTAAATGTAAACGGTAACGTAAAATGTCAATAACAATAGTAATGGAAAAACAACTATTGCTATTTAATAAACCGTCAAATTCACTTTTTTGTTAGTTAAAGTAGATATTAACATTATATCACTTATTGAAATATAGAGTTATCAGTTGTTAAATATAAAGGCAACAGTATGCCATCCTATTAAACATAATTTTTTACAGTGAACTTCTAGCAACACAGCTGCCAGTTTTTAACTGTAAATTTAAATGGATATTTTTTACAGTGTATAACTTGAACTTTCTATTTTTATATATTACATATTCTATAAAACAGGCAAAAGAGAAGAGAGGATGGACCCTCAACAGTGCTGGGTATCTCCTCGGTCCTCGTGAGTTCCCCATTACATCTTTTGTAGACTTTTTTTCTGTCTTCTCCAATAATACCACTCTTTATCTTTCCCCATAGCTGTTTATTATACAAACAGTTGCGTATGATTTATGTATAGGCTAGCTGTTTTGACGTATACATTCTTTCTTCATTTGTTTTGCTTTACTTTTGCGTTGAGCTCACAGGGGCTCTACTTTTTAAACCTTGGACTCTTTAGTTTGTCCGTACTATCTGTGCAGGCCTGTTCGCTGTCTTTGATGAAATGTGTTGGGGTGCACTGATGTTGAGCTCACCTGTGTAGGTCAGTTACATAAGCTCCCTGTGTTTCAGGTCGTATTGATCACCTTATACAGATTAAGGATTCTCCCAGTGCAAGGGGGACAGAAGATCTGCTTGGTCAATGTAAGATAGCACCTGCAGGTTATTGAAGTCAGAGGAGGAATTGCTCTGTGGCGTTTCGCTCTTTGTGCTGTTTTCCATTGCTGGTGAAGCTTCTATTCAGCATGAATCAAAGAAAGATCTTTTCACCTAAACTGGAAAGATCAATCGAGCTTTAAAAGCATTGCTATTATGCTGTTTGAGGGAATAATTTAAGTACATAATCTGTGTGCAAAAGCATGAAGTATTCTTCTTCATAGACTTTCTAAATACTGCCATATTACAGTCTTAAATTCAATTATTAGTACTAACCCATAGCAGCAGGTTTCTTTCTGAATATATAAGCAATATTCTGCTGTTTTCCTTGCATTAAATAGTCTGTTAAAGGTGATTTCACTCTTTTTACATCCTCTATCTTCCACTCTACTTTCTGTCTCTGCTTGTCCACTTGCTGTGAGCTTTTGCTGTCGTTTTTGCCCTTTGGGTGCCCTTGTGGAGAAGGAGTACACTTTAGAATACTTTTAAAATGAGCAGTTATGGAAATAGCAAGAATATACTTAAGTGCAAACTGAATGTAATGTTTTCGGACACTTAATTGCATAATTTTTGCAATTAAATGCAATTTATTATAGTTTAAATTTATATTAAATGCAGTTAGTTGAACTTAAGAGTGCTTTTTTTTTACCCACTTAAGTAGGATTTAAGTACATCTTTATATGCAATTTCATAATTACTTCTATTGTCTGATGAAATATTGTTAAAGTGTACTGCTGAATATACTGACAAGCATTTATGGTACATTCAAATATAGCCTACTTCAATGTAATTTCTATTGAAACTTTTAAGTCATGTATTTAAATATATTTGTAAGTATATATTACTTAAAGGTACAACTTTTAATTTGGCATTATTACAAAGAGCAGTTTTTAAAAGTGTGCTTAAGTGCGTTAAGAAACAGTCATGAAAGTGGACTTTAATTTAGGTAATATTATATTATCTGCAAGTACAGATTTGAAAAATATACTTCTAAGTTTTGAAGTACACTTCAAGTGTACATTCAATACAATTAAGTGCACTTCTTTTTCACAAGGGTGTGAGCTTGTGCTTCGCATTGCGACAAAAAAAAGCAATTCCATGACTCAATTCCTGCAGGTTGCTCTACTCAATCTGTCCCAAAAAACAGAAAAGACAAAAACAAAAAAGCTATTCCTCGGATAATGACTTGTCGCATTAGGAACATATGTGTGCCACAGGCAGGTCTATGAATATCAGCCGGGGCGTCAGGGTCTGACGGCGTGGTGCTCAGCGGGCTGTTCAAATGATCAATGTGATTATGTGTGGTTTTGCTTTGTGATCAGATGCCATAGACAGCCACAGGAGCCTTAGCGACAAGCATGGACTGGCAGGCAAGAGAGAAATGCCCATAGAGGAAGATTTCAAGACAGGTAAGAAACATGCACCGCCCGTAGGGACTCGTCAGTGTGAAAACCCAAAACGGATTTGTGTTCATTAAGATCATTGTTCTGTATGGTTTATTAGACTCTCTTAAAGGCTAGGAAGTTGATTACACTATTCATTTATCGTTAATGTACTTTCACAGATGTTGTGGCAAGGCTTCGGAAGTAAAATAATAACCGAGAATGACCCTATAAAATCTTGTTTCTGCTTTTTAGCAGCTCTGAGGATAGCAGATGAGGATATGGTCCACACTATTATAGACTTTCTTTCATATCTCAAATTAAAAGGTAAGTGCAGTTGTTATTTGATTAGAGATTTTTTAATCAGATTTATGAAACTAAAATAAAGATATATCAACTTCAAATTGCTGGGAGTATAGTTAGTATAGTATATAAATATATATATACTATTAAATTTTAGTAGTATATAGTACTATACAATTTAATACTATATAAGTATATAGTACTACTATAATTGAATACTATATATACAGTATATAGTATTAAATTAGTCGAACATTTTTAAATAAATACTTTTATTCAGCAAAGATGCATTATATTAATCAAAAGAGACTAATATATATATACATAATAAATATGCACAGTATACACATATATATTGTGTAAACAAACACTTTTATTTTGGATATGATTAATCGCGATTAATCGTTTGACAGCACTAATAAATATATATATATACATGTTGTGCTGACCTATTGAAATTCATCTGTTGTGTGACTGTTAACCATTCATTCCTGTTATTCCAGCTTGAATTCTTGACCAATTCATTTCAAATTCCAAATCTCAAATCTCAAATTCACACACTTAGAATTAAACTCTGACTTTTACTAGTAGCTGACCCCATCAAATTAGTCAAAATATAATAAACAGACACATAAAGGACAAGTAATGTATATACCGTGCAATTCTGAATAACCATCTCTGTAGGTTTTAGGCGAATAAGACCCCAAAAAACTACTGTTCACCTAACGTAACTTGACTGCAAGAAAGAGAATTGTTCTAATTATCAAATTTGTACTTACTTCACCCTGCAGAAATGGGAGCTCTCGACAGTCTGCCTTCCTCTCTCACGTCGGAGGAAATAAGTCAACCCTAATTTTGACCGAATCCAGCATTGACACACCGTGACCTCCACCGCGCCTGGCTGAAATCGCTCTCAGAGGCTGTATTAACGTTCAAAGTCTTCTCCACCACGCTAACCTGTCAATATTACCACGTAACTTTAATCTGTCAGAATCACTTGACGGCTGATGTGGAGATGGATTCAAAAAATAAAACTCATAAATGGCATTCGACTCACCTTATTGCCTGTCTTATTATCTTTTATTTTATATTCATAGAAAAGGCAATATCCATGACAGACTATTACTTTTTTATTTTCAAAGTATAAACACACCCATGTAACCTTTCATAACAATTCAATTCTCCTAAGACCTAAGGTTACTATGTGTGGTATTGCTTTGTGATCAGATGCCATAGACAGCCACAGGCACGGACTGGCAGGGAAGAGAGAAATGCCCATAGAGGAAGATTTCAAGACAGGTAAGAAACATGCACTGCCGGTAGGGACTCATCAGTGTGAAAAGGGATTTGTGTTAATTAAGAGCAGGATTCTATATGGTTTATTAGACTCTATAAAGGCTGGGAAGTGGATTATACTATCCATTAATTGTTAATGTACTTTCACAGATGTTGTGGCAAGGCTTTATCAGTAAAATAATAAATAATAATGACTCTATAAAATCTTGTAACGACTGCTTCTCCTTTTTAGCAGCTCTGAGGATATCAGATGAGGATGTTGTCTATACTATCATAGACTTTCTTTCTTATCTCAAATTAAAAGGTAAGTGCAGTTATTTATTTTTTTAGAGATTTTGTCAGATTTACGAAACTAAAATAAAGTTAAATACATCATCTTCAAATTGCTGTAAGTATAGTTAATATAGTATGTTTTTAATGAATACTTTTATTAAACAGGGATGCTTTAAATAAACCAAAAGGGACCTATATATATATATATATAAACTCTGACTTTTACTAGTAGCTGACCCCATCAAATTAGTCAAAATATAATAAACAGACACATAAAGGACAAGTAATGTATATACCGTGCAATTCTGAATAACCATCTCTGTAGGTTTTAGGCGAATAAGACCCCAAAAAACTACTGTTCACCTAACGTAACTTGACTGCAAGAAAGAGAATTGTTCTAATTATCAAATTTGTACTTACTTCACCCTGCAGAAATGGGAGCTCTCGACAGTCTGCCTTCCTCTCTCACGTCGGAGGAAATAAGTCAACCCTAATTTTGACCGAATCCAGCATTGACACACCGTGACCTCCACCGCGCCTGGCTGAAATCGCTCTCAGAGGCTGTATTAACGTTCAAAGTCTTCTCCACCACGCTAACCTGTCAATATTACCACGTAACTTTAATCTGTCAGAATCACTTGACGGCTGATGTGGAGATGGATTCAAAAAATAAAACTCATAAATGGCATTCGACTCACCTTATTGCCTGTCTTATTATCTTTTATTTTATATTCATAGAAAAGGCAATATCCATGACAGACTATTACTTTTTTATTTTCAAAGTATAAACACACCCATGTAACCTTTCATAACAATTCAATTCTTCTAAGACCTAAGGTTACTTCACTATTTTACTTCTTGATTCGTACATACAGGTGGAAACATGAATAATTTATACTGCAGGCTGTTCTTCCGGTCTTAGCTTCTCAGCGGTCATCTGGCACTCGGACAATATGGAGATCACCAGGGTAAGCTTTTTCCAGTGTAGTCCACATATCCAACCATGATGTTTCTCCGTTAATCCAGAAATGACAGACAACACTGATGATATGCTCTCCTCTGGGCTCAAAGGAGCCTTCAAATGCAAGAAAATGGGTTAAAACAAAGTCATTTTTTTCAAGACAATTGAAAAACACATTCAGACTCACCGTTGGTCCGCCCATATCAGTGCGCACCCAACCAGGGTGAAGCGCGATGCACAAAATCTTCTCAGTTTCCAGATCAGTAGCCAAACACCTCGTAACCATATTCAAGGCACTCCTGAATATGTCCAAAATCAAAGTTGAGTATGTAGAAGTTCATAATTGTCCCCACCAAGCAACTAAGCAGGTGTTTTACCTTAGATGCCCTGTATGCGTACCTCTTGCAGCTCGCCCCCTCGCCCCAGTTGAGCTGCACAGATCCCAGGATGGACGACACATTGATCACTGCGGCTCCCTGGATTCCCATGTCACTGCCTTCAGCTGCCGCCCTTCTCAACAATGGCAGGAAAGCCTGAAAAAGATGATGGGTATTCAATAAAGAGGAGCTTTTGATTTCAATGAATAAATACTGAAAATAAAATACCAATAAGAAAGTTTATAAGAGCGTTAGATTATAGTTGCCTGTGGATGGTAATTAATCCAGTCATATTATTTTGGTCACAAAGAGAGGAACCACTGTGTTACTCTCATGGGTTTTCATCATGGCATCTCGAGTGACTGTGTCCAGTTCAGTCATGTTAATCGCCGCATTATTAATTAAGCAGTTCAACCCATCAGCACCCACAATGGATTCCACTGCCTGTGCTGCTGCATCCACACTGCACCACTTGCACTGGTGACATCTGAAATAATAAAGACTGATTTGTGAATCCATTTGATTTGGTTCATTAAAAAGAAGCAACTCAAGAGACCGATTTGCTTCCAAATCAAACATCTCAATGGCTTATTTATCTACTCAAAAGAAATAAATAACCAATGAAATGTTTTACAGAAGAGCATGACTAGAAAACTGTTTATTCACTCTAAAACGTTCTATTACTTATTCAGGACCAGTGTTATGATTGTTAACTAAAACTATTAAAAGTCATTGAAATACACTACATGGAAAGTAACTTAAATAAGTTCAGATTTAAACTTTAACTTAAAAAAAAAAAACTAAAAAAGATTGAAAAAAAAAGTAAATGGCATCACTAAATGACAAAAAACTAAAATGCACATAACAAAATTACTAAAACTGAACATATGAAAATGAAAATATATAAAAATGCTCATTTAAAACATTAATATATACTATAATAATTCAAAAATGATTTCCAGTTGGTCACAAAGAGAGGAGCCACTGTGTTACTCTCATGGGTTTTCATCATGGCATCTCGAGTGACTGTGTCCAGTTCAGTCGTCATGTTAATCGCCGCATTATTAATTAAGCAGTTCAACCCATCAGCACCCACAATGGATTCCACTGCCTGTGCTGCTGCATCCACACTGCACCACTTGCACTGGTGACATCTGAAATAATAAAGACTGATTTGTGAATCCATTTGATTTGGTTCATTAAAAAGAAGCAACTCAAGAGACCGATTTGCTTCCAAATCAAACATCTCAATGGCTTATTTATCTACTCAAAAGAAATAAATAACCAATGAAATGTTTTACAGAAGAGCATGACTAGAAAACTGTTTATTCACTCTAAAACGTTCTATTACTTATTCAGGACCAGTGTTATGATTGTTAACTAAAACTATTAAAAGTCATTGAAATACACTACATGGAAAGTAACTTAAATAAGTTCAGATTTAAACTTTAACTTAAAAAAAAAAAACTAAAAAAGATTGAAAAAAAAAGTAAATGGCATCACTAAATGACAAAAAACTAAAATGCACATAACAAAATTACTAAAACTGAACATATGAAAATGAAAATATATAAAAATGCTCATTTAAAACATTAATATATACTATAATAATTCAAAAATGATTTCCAGAAATGTTTGAATCCTATAGATAACAATTACACAAATATAATTTGTACTTAATATATATTATATAGAGTTTGACAGGGAATATATAGTTTAATGTGGAAATTAAAAAGTACATTTGTCAACGTCAATAAGAATCACATTTATTTGTCCTTTCTCTCCACCTACTGGACATATATAACAATTGCACCTCACTAATATTGTAATATGATTTATTTATGCATTTTGTGGAGGTTTGGTGGTATTTAAAATACAACATTGTATTACATATTAAATAACAATACATTTTAATACATACACTGTTTGCGATTTATTTATACTTTTTATAAATAAATCAATGAAATGTACATATAGATAAAGTATTTAAATATTCAAACAGATAAAGAAGGCGGTAAACTAAATACAAACACAATTCTATACACATATCGTCTTGATGATGATGCAGAAGTGGAAAATGCAATAATTTAATTCGTTTACGCTCATCACGTGACAATGCAACTCACCTTGAGGCAAAACCATAGACTGTAAACATGAACGTTTGGATGCGATTTGGCAAGTTCTTGCAGTTCCTGCCAATGACAGCAAACCACAATCACTCGTTAAGCAGCTTGTGCGCTCATCTGTATTGTGCACAGGCTGTATCGAGTAGCTGTTTGGCCATTTGCAGTCCGAGACCTCTGTTTGCCCCCGTGATTAGAAACGAGGGACACATTGAGTTGTTGATATTCATCTTCAAGTCATAGGAGCACTGCAGTCCAGCTGGAGGCGGGGTTAGTTTCATAAGCGTCCAACCTTCAAACATTAAATATTAGGGATGGGCGATACCACTTATTTTGTTTTCGATACGATACCGATATTTTTCAAGGCAGTATCGTCGATATCGATACCGATTCGATACTTCTGAACTAAACTTTTAAATTATGAAATGTATTAAATGTATTAAATTACTAAGAGTAAAATGGGTAATGATAAGCACTTAACTTTATGTTTAAAACTCCATTTGATTTGGTTCATTAAAAAGAAGCAACTCAAGAGACCGATTTGCTTCCAAATCAAACATCTCAATGGCTTATTTATCTACTCAAAAGAAATAAATAACCAATGAAATGTTTTACAGAAGAGCATGACTAGAAAACTGTTTATTCACTCTAAAACGTTCTATTACTTATTCAGGACCAGTGTTATGATTGTTAACTAAAACTATTAAAAGTCATTGAAATACACTACATGGAAAGTAACTTAAATAAGTTCAGATTTAAACTTGAACTTAAAAAAAAAAAACTAAAAAAGCTTGAAAAAAAAAAGTAAATGGCATTACTAAATGACAAAAAACTAAAATGCACATAACAAAATTACTAAAACTGAACATATGAAAATGAAAATATATAAAAATGCTCATTTAAAACATTAATATATACTATAATAATTCAAAAATGATTTCCAGAAATGTTTGAATCCTATAGATAACAATTACACAAATATAATTTGTACTTAATATATATTATATAGAGTTTGACAGGGAATATATAGTTTAATGTGGAAATTAAAAAGTACATTTGTCAACGTCAATAAGAATCACATTTATTTGTCCTTTCTCTCCACCTACTGGACATATATAACAATTGCACCTCACTAATATTGTAATATGATTTATTTATGCATTTTGTGGAGGTTTGGTGGTATTTAAAATACAACATTGTATTACATATTAAATAACAATACATTTTAATACATACACTGTTTGCGATTTATTTATACTTTTTATAAATAAATCAATGAAATGTACATATAGATAAAGTATTTAAATATTCAAACAGATAAAGAAGGCGGTAAACTAAATACAAACACAATTCTATACACATATCGTCTTGATGATGATGCAGAAGTGGAAAATGCAATAATTTAATTCGTTTACGCTCATCACGTGACAATGCAACTCACCTTGAGGCAAAACCATAGACTGTAAACATGAACGTTTGGATGCGATTTGGCAAGTTCTTGCAGTTCCTGCCAATGACAGCAAACCACAATCACTCGTTAAGCAGCTTGTGCGCTCATCTGTATTGTGCACAGGCTGTATCGAGTAGCTGTTTGGCCATTTGCAGTCCGAGACCTCTGTTTGCCCCCGTGATGAGCACCGAGTGACACTTTGAGAAGTTGATCTTCATCTTCAAGTCATAGGAGCACTGCAGTCCAGCTGGAGGCGGGGTTAGTTTCATAAGCGTCCAACCTTCAAACATTAAATATTAGGGATGGGCGATACCACTTATTTTGTTTTCGATACGATACCGATATTTTTCAAGGCAGTATCGTCGATATCGATACCGATTCGATACTTCTGAACTAAACTTTTAAATTATGAAATGTATTAAATGTATTAAATTACTAATTTTGGTTTGAGTATCGATACTTTCGATACTCGCGTCAGTATCGATATATCGATACTTTGGATCGATACGCCCATCCCTATTAAATATGAGGGGGAAGCTAACGCTGCTAAATTCTCTCGCAGTAGTAAAACATACATCGTTAAAACACCTAAATATATTGTTTACAAAGCGGATTTACAAAATAAAACCAAAGTCCCTTTAAGGTATAAAGGTATTTCTATTTGACAAAGCATAATTATGTGAAATAGAGATGCACGCGACCTCTCGCGGTTTTTGCTGTTAATGTGCGTGAGCTCAAATCGTGTTATTTTCGCGCTTTTTACAGTATCTGTAATGTAATGTTGAAGAACATATCCAAAACTCTTATACAGTCTCAGATAAGTTAATTTTGTTATGTTAAACAGTAAAAAAAAAAAACACCACGCACTTAGTTATCTGGTACGTTAAGTGTAACATAATGTCAGCAGATTTGATATTTTATTAATATCTTGAGGTGGACGAATGATTAGCTAAATCGCTAGCATAACCAGATCACCTCAAAGTAAATAAACTAAACATCTTATTTCAATATTTGGTTATCTATGTATGTTTTATATTAGATACATTTTATAGCTTTTTCACTATACACAAAATAAATATATTAACAATGGAATAGTTTACTGAAGAGGATAACTAGAAAAAAAAATATATTCACTATACAGTACAACTTTCCATTACTTAGTCAGGACCAGTGTTGTTGTTTTTTCTAAACACACACACACACACACACACACATATATAAAGAACTGAAATAAAATATATATCTTAGATGACAAATAAAAATGACAAAAATACAGAATTGCTAAATTAAATTAAAATGAAATCTGCTTTGTAACTTTTTTATACAGCATCTGTAGATAAACATTCTGTTCTCTTACATGCCTGTGTGATTCCAGCGCCATCTAGAGCAGGAGAATGAATGAGTTGGAGGACCAAGAGTACAGCTACAAAAGAGAGTTCTCTGAAGGGTCTCTTGTTCCTTTACACCACACCCATAAATATATATCTTAGATGACAAATAAAAATGACAAAAATACAGAATTGCTAAAATTAAATTAAAATTAAATCTGCTTTGTAACTTTTTTATACAGCATCTGTAGATAAACATTCTGTTCTCTTACATGCCTGTGTGATTCCAGCGCCATCTAGAGCAGGAGAATGAATGAGTTGGAGGACCAAGAGTACAGCTACAAAAGAGAGTTCTCTGAAGGGTCTCTTGTTCCTTTACACCACACCCATGAAAGTCCTAGAATGGCAAATCTCATCAGTCATGGGATGCATTCAGTACCGGGATACTCCAGGATGGAAGAATCCCTGCAGGAGGATGACTACCCCACTTACAGGATTCTTCATCTGCTAACATGTGATCCTTTGCCTCCAGTAGCCCACTTTAGCTCAGCGTCCTATCCTGAATACTTAGTGGCTCAGTCTAACCATTATCAGCATGCACTAGGCCAACCGTACAGCTCCTGGCCATCCCAGGAGGCTTTTCATTACGCCATGTCATCAGTGAGTGTGCACAAATCGAAAGTATTTTCTATGTGAAATATGAAATCTCATTTAAGAGTCAGAACCGAACACATAATGCATTTCCAGTGATTAGGTTATGTCTTTAACTCATTAACTTGTTGATTTCTTTCTATCACAGGGAGCTGTCACCAGTATCAGCTCTGATGGTGCAGATGTTTACAGTCTGGAGGGTTATTCTACACATCAAGGATTTAGACATCATGATGTAATGTGCAATCTGAAGATGTTTGTGTTGTGTATGTGAAGCTTGGGTTCAAAGGGACTTAATGGATTCTTTTTATATAATTTTCCAGAGAAATCAGCCCCATGCTGTTCTTGTGTCGCCTCATGACCAGAAGCTTCCAGCTGAGACGTCCAACATTTGTCAGGTATCATCTCTCTCAAATGCCTTATTATTGCAATATATTGCCACACACACACGTCATAATTCTCATTATTCTCTCAAAAAAGAAACAAAAAATGGTCAAACAAAATCAGTCATGGTTCAAACATCTAGTAGTATAATAAAATATTTGCCATTTTATGTGGTTTTCAAAAAAATAAAAATAATTACCAATGAATGGGCAAAAGATCCTTGATTTATCCAAACAATAAAATACCTGTTTTTTACAATCATTATATTTGCATTTTCATTTGATGCCACTAGTCAGAAATTACACACTCATCACTCATCTTTTTGTTTGAGTGTCAGGGGCAGATTGTGCCAGATCTTTGATAAATAAAAATGAAGCCATTTCAAAAGTGATGAAACAGGCCATCTTCTCGGAGATGTTACAGCCAGTGCAGGTTGTGTGTGATGTGACCGGTGGAGGGCAGGTCGTCGTGCTGAACCATTGCAGTCCCATTCAGATTCACAGAGTCTCTGCCAAAGCCATCTGACCAGAGCTACTCTACTGAGGACCACTCACCCACTGGAAAAGGTGAAACCTGTATACACTTTCATGGTCATTTTCCATGCTCCTTAGAGTTGAACAGACCTTATTTCTTGCTGTACCTACCTATCAGCCTTCTTTATAAATAATCCTTTTTGCATGTAAAATGAAAAGCATTTACTGTTGTTGAAAATAAACTCAAGCATTTTTAAAGCTAAAGGAAAGTATTAATGTATTATTACATTAATAAACACACTTGCTAGGATTTTTTTATTCTGATATGTACTACTAGTTTAGCAGTTTAATGTACTGTTGAAGTATTCAACATCAGATGCCGGACATTCAGAGAAGATCGTGTCCACAAGACATCTGCAAGTGTCACATTCAACCTCACGCCAGGACCTTATGCTTCACAGGTAGTTTTCAGTTTGAAACATAGAGTAAATGGTTATTATATATCATATAACAGATAAATATATATAGGCCTATATAATTACATAATGAGTAAATCTCATGAAGAATTGTTTGCCATACATTGCCTCCCCAAAAAAAACTATTTTAACACATTTGAGATTTTTGAATCATGACATTACTTTCATTATGCAAAATGATCTGAAAAAAAAAGAGATTACATGTTAGTGAGTGGATTAGCAGTTAATTTGAAGGCAAAATTAGAGTTTATCCATTCAGAGGTGTTTTCAATCAATGGGATGCCAATCAGATGTCAGTGAGTGTCCTGTTTTAATTAAAGAACAGGGATCTATCAAAGTCCGATCTTCACAACACATGTTTGTGTTAGTGTATCATGGCACAAACAAATGTCTGATTTTCTGAGGACCTCAGAAAAAGAGTTGTTGTTGTTCATCAGGCTAGAAAAGGAATCCATGAATCCTGAGTCAAGACAGACTTTGTACAAATGGAGGAAATTCAAGATCATTGTAATAGTCCATGAGGAACCCAGAGTAACTTCTAAGCAACTAAAGGCCTCTCTCAAGTTGGCTAATATTAATGTTCATGAGTCCACCATCAGGACAACACTGAATAACTATGGTGTGCATGGCAGAGTTGCAACGAGAAAGCCACTGCTCTCCAAAAAGAACTTTGCCGCCTGTCTGCAGTTTGCTAAAGATCATGTGGACAAGTCAGAGGACTAATGGAAAAATGTTTTGTGGATGGATGAGACCAAAATAGCACTTTTTGGTTTAAATGAGAAGTGTTATGTTTGGAGAAAGGAAAACACTGCATTCTAGCATAAGAACCTTATCCCATCTGTGAAACATGGCAATGGTGGCCTGTTTTACTGCATCTTGGCCAGGACAGCTTGCCATCATTGATGGAACAATGGGTTCTGAATTATACCAGTGAATTCTAAAGGAAAATGTCAGAACATCTGTCCGAGAACTGAATCTCAAGAGAAAGTGGTTCATGCAGGAAGACAACGACCCCAAGCACACAATTCGTTCTACCAATAAATGAAGAAGAACAAAGATAATGTTTTGGAATGGCCGAGTCAAAGTCCAAAACTCAATCCTGTTGTGGAAGGACCTGAAGTTAAATTGATTTTAAATTAATAAATCACATTTTTACCTTTTTTTTTTTTTTTAGCTTCATCAGGTGCTTTGCCCTACTCAGATTGTAGAACAGGAAGAGGAGGGACAGACCAAAGGACATAGACGGTGCGAGTGTCATTACTGTAAAACCTCATAGCTCTCATGTTCATTCTAGACAACTGAACTGCAATTTTTGTAAAACAGTTTAAATTATGGCATAACTATTCTTTGTTTATTAGTGTGAAGTGGGAAAAATCAAAGCGACCTTGCAACTGCACAAAATCTCAGTGTCTGAAACTGTAAATATTTTCATGCTTTTTTTTTTTTTAAAGCCTTTA